CCTTCCCTCCCTAGGTGTAGCTGGAAGCTAAGAGGCCTCTTCCTAATCAAGTGATGCTGTACCAGGGGCAGCATCTCTGGCAACAGGGTATCCCAAACCTCCCTGCCATATTCAGTGAGTCTGACTTTGCATTCTCTCAGGATGCAGAAGCCTTTTGATTAGTTTCTGGTTTCTCACAGGGAAATTTATCCATGAATTGTTGTTGAATTCATCTGTTTATAAGGAGAAAGAGGAACCAGGGCTTCTTTCCTTCCGCCATGTTGCTGATATCACACCTGTCAGGTTGATTTTTGAGTCTCTGTTTTGCAGCTACTTCTTATCAGCATGTTGGCACAACATGATTTGAGCTCACATCTAATTAGGGCCCTGATGCCGGCAGCTTGTCAACACAGCACTACTCCAGAGTGCCAGGAGGGTGACATGGAATGACACGAGAGTCAGACAACAAAGGGTCTTTGTGCACCCTTGTGCCACCCTCCAATGACCTGAAACAAGTCGTTGGATTCTCTGATCTTAGTTTCCCATCTGTAAATCAAGGATGGCAGCATCTTTCCTGGCTACCTCGCAGAGTCATATGCATGCATGAGATAATGTTTGAAAATAGAAAAATGTGAGGTAGCCGAAAACTACCTGGGTTACTTGAGTGCATCAGCCCTTTTCGTATTTTCAGTCCTCTTCTGTTTCTGGACTCCTGCCCAGGACTCCTTTAAATACATCAGTGGTCAATAAAGTGGCCCAGAAATTGCATCCTGTAGATTCCGTTTCACAGGATTCATGGTGTCTCCAAGCAAATTCGGAATTCTTTTTAATCTCTGTAATAACTATCATGAGAGCCTTGTCTATTATTCATGTTGCTTTATGTTTCTTCTCCCCTTTTCCTTGATCAGGTTTGCCAGAAATTTGATGTATTCTTTCAAAAACACAGCTTTCAGTTCTATTTAGTTTGTTTTATCTTTAATATATCATTTATATACAAATATATTATATAAATATACAATTCCTTCTACTTACTTTATGTTTATTCTGTTGTTCTTTTTCTAACTTTTGGATGTTTTCTAGTAAATGTATTTAAGGCTATAAATTTCCCTCTAAGTGTGTGTCTTAACTATGTCTCAGAGTTGTGAAGCTCATCTCATTTTTTAAATCTACTTTCTTAGGGATTGGCAGTGGTGGCAAACTGCCAGGGGAGGGGGGCACACCTCCTCCACAAGGGCACCTGCATAATGAACATTTGTATACCCCACCCCGAATTGTACCCCACATCTTTAAAATTAAAGGTTAAATAAATAATTAAATAAATCTACTTTCCTGTTGCTTTCTAATTTCATTGCAGTGCCCTTAGATAATAATAGTCTATATCATGTCAGTAAATTGTGTTGAGATTTGCTTTGTGTACGAATGTGTGGTCAGTTTTTTAAAATGTTCCCTATGGACAGAAAAGAAAAAGCACATATGTGTCCTAGCTCTGTAAATCTACTTATTATGTGACCTTAGGCAAGTTACATATTCTGCCTCAGTTCGTCATCTTTAAAATGGGATGATAGTGCCCACCTCAAAGACTTGAAGGCCTGGCGCGTACTAAGTACCATGTCGATGTTAGTTGCTATTAGTTTCTTTTTCAGCTGTTAGGTTGAGATTACTAATCTTCTTCAAATCATCCTTGTCCTAGCTATTTTGTCTGTTTAGTGTATCCGTTTATGAAAGATGTGTATTAAAATCTCCCAGTATAATTATAAATATCCCCATTTCTCCCCACAGTTATGAATGTTTTGCCTTACGTTTTCAGATGCCTACCACTTCATTATTAGAGCATTTTAGTGAACAATTCCTCTTATTAGGCTATATCTTCAACTTTGCCAGTTCATGTGTGTCAAGATTACTGGTCTCATTAGAATTGTTTTTGCCATGGCCGGGCATGGTGGCTCACGCCTATAATCCCAGCACTTTGGGAGGCCAAGGTGAGAGGATTGCCTGAGCCCATGGATTCAAGAACAGCCTGGGCAGCTTGGCGAGACCTCATCTCTACAATAAATCAAAAAATTAGCTGGGGGTGGTAGTGCATGCCTACAGTTCTGACTACTTGGAAGACTGTGGCAGAACGATCACCGGAGCCCAGCAGGTCGAGACTGCGGTGGCTGGGAGTGTGCCACTGCCCTCCATCCTGGGTGACAGAGTGAGTCTCCAACTCACAAGAAAAAAAAAAAAGAATTGTTTTTACCAGCATATTTTATGTTTTCTGTTTACCAAGATTTCTTTGTAACTTTCCATTTTCAACCTTTTACAACCGGATCCTAATTAATTATACATCATTTATGTGTTTATACTGTAGCAGTATATATGCTGTTCTGATTTTTTTGTTGTTCCTGTTCCATTTACTATGTGATTTCCCCAGGTTTATGATACAGTTGCCTATATTTATGGCAACCAACTCACAAAGCTGTTTTGCTTAGACTATAATATTTGCTCCTTGGCTTTATGGGAATTAGAGATCTCCGAGCTATTTTTCATGCCCCAAATACCTGAAACTAGGAGGCACAGGAGGGCCTTTTAGCCTCAGGTTCATGTGTAGTTTGTAATCTGCTCAGTTACATCATTTTTGAAAATGTACAGCAATGAACCAAACTTATGAGGCCCTGTGACTAGTAAGTGTCAACCAACTGGACTTCAGTGTGCCATTATGTACAGTAAAGAGAGAGGACTTAGTCTGTGAAAAATAACTAGCCTGAACGTTCTCAGCTACTGGATGTAAGATTTATAGCATTAAAAAAATTATATCTGGGGCCAGGTGCAGTGACTTATGCCTGTAATCCCAGCATTTTGGGGAGGCTGAGGTGGGAGGATTGCTTGAGGCCAGGAGTTCAAGACCAGCCTGAACATAGGGAGACTCCATATCTACAAAAAATACAAAAATCAGCCAGGTGTGGTGGTGCACATCTGTAGTCCCAATTTACTCAGGAGACTGAGGCAGGAGGATTTCTTGAGCCCCAAAGGACTGAGGTTGCAGTGAGCCGTAATCGTACCACTGCACTTCAGCCTGGGCAACAGAGCAAGACACTGTCTTGAAAAAAAAGTGATATCTGGGATTACCTTTATATTCCCTTATAGTCTGGGAAGAAAGAAAGGAAATGCTTCTATAATTAATATAGGGCAGACAAACTTTTCTCTGGTCTGTTTATTCATGTGTCCTTAGAACAGTGTCTGACAGTGATCAGTAAATATTTGTAAGAAAGTTATGGTACCAAAAATAACTGCTATGAGAACTTCAAGAGGAGAGAGTGTCATTGTAATAGAGGAGAGTGTGAAGTCTTCATGAGGAACTAACAGTTAAGAAGGGCCTTGAAGGTTAAGTAGGATCTGAAGATTAAAGGATGCATCAGTTAAGGTTTTCATCGGAGAATCAAACTGTTGGGAATGATATGGGTTATAGTATTAAATTTAACTGGACTGAAAGAATTGTGGAAGCCAGTTGAGCATCTTCTATTCAACTGTTGCTTCTCTATCTGGTGGTGAGTCTAACGTCCACAGGGCAGCCCCTGGAAAGAAAGAAAGACAGAAGTGAAGTAAGGAATATCAAGGACAGACTGCAGCCTGTGAGGCTGAACTTGATCTGTGTCAGTCTCTGAGGCTGACGAGGCTCCAACTTTGATGATACAGGTGACCTGTAGGAGAATCTGGCATCTTTTGTCATGGAGCTAAACTTGCACCTGACCCAGGACAGAGAGAAACCTGAGGAGGATCTGGCAGGACCTGGAGAAGCTGAAGGTATTGCTGCTGCCCTGAGAGCTGTACACACTGGCCCAGGACAAGGAGAAATCAAAGGAGCCAAGAGCCTGAAAACAGCCCAGGCCAACAGGGTGAGCAAGGTGATCAGCAGCACTGGCACCTGGATTTAAACACAGGCAGTCTGGTGCCAGAGCCCAAGCTTTCAACCATGGAAGGTCTCTTGGTTGCTGTAAGTGAAGTGAGGGTGCAAGGAATGCAGATATCAGAAGAAGATGGAATGGCCAGTGCAAAGGCCCTGCGGTATGGGTATGCATATTGTTTGGTGGAGTAAAACCAAGAGTTCGGTTCTGGACATGTTGCAGTTTGAGAAACAGAAGAGGAAGGGGCATCAGCAGAGGAGACTGAGCAGAAGCAGTGATGGAGGAGAAAGCCCAGGGAAGAGGGCTACAAGGAAACCCAGGAGAAAGACTGCTGCATGAAGGAGAGAGTCATCCGATATTTCCAGTTCTGCAGAGAGGCCCAGTCAGCTGAGGCCCAAGAATTGACCATTAGATTTGGCAATGGCAGGCCATCATTGGTCTTGACACTGGTGGGTTTTCAGGACACGGACGGGCAACCAAAGCACTTTTGTTCTAGTCAAGTGAGAATGGGCGCCCAAGGCCCCACCCTCCAGCTTCAGCTCTGCTCCTCCCCATCCTTGAGACACCTCCCTGGGTCTCTGGAGCATAGTTTGAAAGCCACAGGTGGAAACCAATCCCTTTGTTTTAGAGTTGATAGAGGTCAGGTCCAGAAAAGGAAAACACTGGCTCAAGGTCATGCAACTAGTTAGTGAAAAACCCAGGTTGCCATTTATCATTATTTAATGAGACAAATCTATTCCCTGTTTGTCTTATCATACTATTTTCATAGACAGTGGTTACCATGACAAGTGGAAAAACCAAAATAAAGTCTTTTTCACTTGTCTCTCTGTGTGGGAAGGGGAGAATGATAACATGGACAAATCCAATTCACAAGGAATTCAGAGGTCTCCTTGCCAACAGTGTCCATGTTTTCCTCCCATACCCCGTTATCAATACTTCTAGTCATTCAGCAAGTTCCATGTTTTCTGATCCTTTGTAATGAAATGTAGCTGACTACACCCTGTAAAATGGGTGTAATAATAATAATTACATTTGCTCACACTCGTTGAGCACTGGCTGTGAGCCAGCACTGTTTGCAGATCCTCACAATAGCCCCGTGAAGCAGAACCAACCAGGACCCCTCTCTGTGGGTTAAACATGGGACAGCATCATGAAGTGGTCAAGAGTTCAGACCCCAGGGACCTATTGCCGGATGGCATATTCTATGTCCACTATTCACTGATGGTGGGACAATTGTATTAGTTTGTTTTAAAGACTAAAGAAACACCTGAGGCTGGGTAATTTATAAAGAAAAGAGGTTTATTTTGGCTCACGGTTCTGTATGGCACTGGCATCTTCTGCTGGGCTTCTGGTGAGACCTCAGGAAGCTTGCAGTCGTGGTGGAAGAGGGGAAGGAGCAAGCATGTCACATGGAGAGAACAGAAGCTAGAGACAGAGAAGGAGGTGCCAGCCTCTTTGAAACAACCAGCTCTTGTGTGAACTAATGGGTCAAGAATTCATTCATTCCTGCAAGAATGGCATCAAACCTTTCATGAGGGATCCTCCCCCATGATCCAGTCATCTTCCGCTAGGCCCTGCCTCCAGCATTGAGGATCACATTTCAATATAAAATTTGGGGGGTTGGGAACCAACCAAAATATATCAACAAGTTCCTTGCTCTCTAAATGCATTAGTTTCTCAGCTGTGTGAAATGGTTTGTGGACTGAAAAACAGAACACAAGGATAGAGGCCGGCAGCAGTCATGAGCTAGGCACTGTTCCGGGCATCCCATCATCCAAGGCCTGCCAGCAGGGGTGCCGATGGTGTGTTGCTGAAGCCCTCTCTCCTCTGCTCTTTAGTTTAGATAAGCCACACGTTGAATGTGGGAGCTGTGCTTAATTTTGTCTTGCAAATGTTTTTGCCTAGGATCCATGTCTGAAGCTGAATCAACCTTCTCAGACATCGCCCAGAGGAGAAGAGTGTCAAGATAAGCTAGCAGCTGAAGAAGGAACCAGCAGCGATGAAGAGGAAAGGTACAGGAGGACTTGCAGACTTCCGGGTGCACCAGAGAATGAGGATTCAGATTTGGAAGGATTCATTCACTCATTTTACCCTAAAGTATTTATCGCTGCCCTCTTTGCATTGTGCTTAGGGATACTATGGGTGGGCATTACATAAACTATCTTATTTAATTGTCATACCAACCCAGAAAGGTCATTTTATAGTTTAAGAACCCGAAGCTCATAAAAGTTAGTAAGCCTGAAGTTAGATTCAGACCTGATCTGACTCTAAACCTCTGTTCTTATAATTTTAAGTGTTCTTTAATTAGGGGAGATAGGAGAGCTTTGTCGTCCTGAGGAAATCCACATCTATATCATCTATATCAGTCAGCTATTGCTGCTATAACAAACATCCCCAAAATATCCGTGATTTTTAGCTCACAGGTGAGCTAACTTTATGTTTGGCTCTGCTGGGCTCTGTTAGACTTGTATGAACTTGCCTTCCAGCTGAGGATCAGGTGTTATTGTTCTGCCATGAAATAGAGCTCAAATCAGCTCCATGTGCCTATTCATTCTGGGACCCAGGCTAAAGGATCAGCCCCCATCTAGGTCAGTTGTTGTCATGGTAAAGGGAGGAAACGCAAAAAGGCTGATGGAAACATGCAATATCTCTTAAAGCCCACAGTCAGAACTGCACTCTCATTTCCATCCACATTTCATGGGCCAGAGCAAGCCACAGGACCAAAGCTAATGTCAGTAGGCATGTGTCTTAGTCAGCTTAGGGTGCTATAACAAAACATCATATAACAAAACATAGACCGGGTGACTTAATCAATAGAAATTTTATTTCTCAGAGTTCTGAAGGTTGGGAACTGCAAGATCAATATGTCAGCCTATTTGATTCCTGGTGAGAACTCTCTTGCCGGCTTGTAGATGACCACCTTCTCACTGTGTCCTCGTGTGGTAGAAAGAGAGATATCTCTCCCATGTCTCTTCTTATAAGGGCATAACCTCATCATGAAGGCTCTACCCTCATGACCTAATTACCTCCCAAGGGCTCCATCTACATATACCATCAAATTGGCAGTTAGGCCTTCAACAGATGAATTTTGGGAGACCCAATTCAGTCTGTAGCAAACTCATAGCCACGAGAGGCAAAGGCAGAAGGGAATGAATAAATGCTGAGCAAATACAACACTCCAAAGTCTGTTACATCACCTCACAAGATTCTGATACAATGGGCCTAGGGTACACCCCAACCGTGTGTATTTTGAGAAAGCTTCCCAAGTGATTGTGAGGATACCACAGTTCTGGTCCACTGTCCTGCACTAGCAAATGACTTGTGTGGATCCCAACAGATAACACGGAAGCCCCTGTGATTTGGCAGCTGTCTTATAGTGAGGGAAGAAGGGAAGCATTGTCCAGTAAGCCCTCCAGCTCATAATACTTCTACTGCCTCCTCCAGCTTCTGTCTCAGTATCGAAGAGGCAGATAAGCAAAACAGTTCGAGGACAGACCCTGGACTCAGACCTCCAGATGATGTCCTGGTTCTGCTACTTACCCACTGGCAGCCCTAAACACTGTCCTGTTTAGAACTTGTGATTCCAGAGGAAAAGAAAGAGTCTCTTTCCTGAAAACAGTGGCAGAAATTTCAAAGAGGTCTCCAGTAAGCCGAGCCTGGGTCACATGTCCATCCTCAAGCCAGTCACTCTGGCCAAGGAAGTAGAGTGCTCTGACTGACCAGGTGGGTGTCATATGCCCTTTCCCTCAGCCAACTGGGACGAGGGCAGAGTTACCTGCATCCAAACCCTGTGGCCTAAAGAGGATCACCATGGAAAGAGGAAAGGCTTCCCCAAGGAGAGGATGCTGGGCAGACCAACAGCACGTGGTGATCACAATAGCTTTCTCTTTTTCTCCAGTAGTGGCCATATCCGTGAGGAGGTAGTCCTCAACTACAGGAAAAAGCCAGGGGTTGAGGCTCTGGAGGTTGTTCCCACAAGTACTTACATTGGGTTAGAAAGGGTAAGCAGTGCAGGGGAAGGAATGGGGAGGTTGCCTGGGCTCCAAGGTTGGGGGCTGCAAGACAGAACACATGCAGTGGTTCCTTTGGGGCAGGTTTGCCTGTTCAATAGTTACTCCCACAAGGGATGCTTGTCAGGTAACTGAGCTTCTTGGCATACAGGTTCCAAGAAGAGGTGACTTTTCCATAGGCCTGACTTAAGGTGGGGAAGAGCAGGTCATGATCAGATTTAAGTGGGGAGAGGGGCAAAGGTCCGGACAGTGAGCTGGGCTGCTTTGTGAGGGGTGGCAGAGTGGGATCCGTTCCTTCAGATGTGAGGGAATTGGGGACAACAGACTGAAGTCAGAGAGAGAAACTCACATTAGCAGTATTCCAGAGGATAATAATGATGGTAGTAATAATAAATATTTATTGAATGTTCGGTATAAGTACATTAAAAGGATTAGCCCATTTCATCTTTATTGGGGAGATATCAATATTAAAGTGCTTAGTAATGATGAGAAAAACAGAGAGTTTAAGTAATTTGCCCAAATTTACACTCCAGTGGGTGGTAAGATTCAGATGATAATCTCTCTGGCTCTAGAACTCACACTTTTAGCCAAATCTCAACTTAGGGCAGATGCTCTTATGTGTAACATGAAGATCTACAGGTTTTCCATCCTTCCAGGGTCACTCGATTCTTTAATAGTAATAAAACTGAAACCTGTACTTCCAGCCATGGCAGAGCAACTGGTACCAGACTTTCTGTCTTTCTGTAAACAACCGCAAAACTGGACAAAATTTATGGGGCAATGCTTTTGAGTAATAGAACACTATGCAGAGGAGGACTGTAATTTTTTTTTTTTTTTTTTTTGAGTTGGAGTCTCACTCAGTCACCCAGACTGGAGTGCAGTGGCTGCTTCCGGCCACCGCAGCCTCGCCTGCTGGGCTCCAGCGATCCTTCTGCCTCAGCCTTCCGAGTAGCCAGAATTACAGGCACGCGCTACCACGCCCGGCTGATTTTTTTGATTTATTGTAAAGATGAGGTCTCGCTGCCCAGGCAGGTCTCGAACCTGCGGGCTCAGGCAATCCACTCACCTCAGCCTCCCAAAGGCGTGGGATTACAGGCTGAGCCACCGAGCCCAGCTAGGACTGTACTTTTAAAGAAGTCACTCCAGATTTGTCTGAACTGTCTACTTAGGAAAAGATCCAATTACAACACAGGGAGATCGGCCTAACTGATCTGAGAAAGTAGACATCAGCATTCAGGGTGCTGAATTGGGCAGAATTTGTAAGATGTGGTACCAGAAGAGAAGGTCAATGGGGGTGGAGGAGGCAGAAATCTATATGAGGGTTTTGCATAGGTTCTTAGCCCAGGGCTTGATTGAGCATGAGCTAGATGAGACTCTATGAGACCTAGAAGTGTGCTGATGCCATGGAGTGAAGAAAATGGAGATACCAGAGGTCATGCCGTGCTGAGAGACATTGGAGCCCCAGCTCAGCTGTGATAGAAATGACTTTTTGAGCACTAGGAGCATTGACTTGAGACCTCAGAAAGATCAGACCTTAGGAGTAAGAAAATATTCTCTATGATACGGGCCACACCCTAGAACAAAAGATAATACTGAAATTCACCTGCTTTAACAAAGAGAAATTCAAGTCTAAAAGTATAAAAGGCCTCTAGTAATGTAGCTGCCTACCAAAACAAAACTCAATACCTTTTAAAAGACTCCCTATAATGTACTCTCCACAATATCCAGACTCCCTATAATATACTCTCCACAATATCCAGCATACAATAAAAACTTTATGAGACATGCAAAGAAGTAGGAAAATGTAATCTATAATCAAGAAAAAAAATCAACCAGTAGAAGCAAACCATAAAATGATCTAGATATCAGAATTAGTAGAGAAGGACTTGAAAGCAATTATAAGAATTATGCTCAAGAACATAAAGAAAAATGTTGTCATTATGAGTATGCAAATAGGGAATTTTAACAGAGAAATGAAAACTATAAAACAATAGGAAATTTTAAAACTATAAAATATAATATCCAAAACAAAAAATGTCCTGAATGTGCATAATTGAAAATTGGAGACCATGGGAGAAAAAGTTAACAACTTTAAGATAGAGCAATAGAAATTGTCTTATCCAAAAATGAAGAGAAAAAAATATTTTTTATAAATGAAGAAATCCACCAGGTGCACTATAATCTTAGCACTTTGGGAGGCCGAGGTAAGAGAATTGCTTGAGCCCAGGATTTCAAAACCAGCCTGGACAATTTAGTGTGAGACCCTCTCTACAAAATAGTCAAAAAATTAGACAAGAGTGGTGGCACGCACCTGTAGTGCCAGTTACTTGGGAAACTGAAGCAGAAGGATCATCTGAGCCCAGGAGGTTGAGGCTGCAGTGAGCTGTGATCATGTGATCACACCACTGCCCTCCAGCCTGGACAACAGAGTAGGATCCTAATTCAAACAAGCACACACACACAAAAGAAGTAAAGCTAAAAATACAATGAAGGAACTAAGATGGAATACTGAAAAATATTTAAGTGAGATAGGCAGACAGAAAAATAAAAACAGAAGAACAATAACCTAAAAATATTGGGCAAATGGAAAACAAGCAGCAAGACAGCAGATTTAAGCCTAACCATCATAACTACAATGTAAATGAACCAAATATATCATCCATCTGATAGAAACTGTCAGGATATAAAGGCAAGACATTAATATATACTGTCTACAAGGGAGACATTTAAATATAAAGACACTGTTAAAGGCTGAATTGTGTCCCCCTCAAAATTCATCTGTTGAAGCCTTAATCCGCAGTAACTCACGGTGTGACTATATTTAGAGACAAAGCCTTTAAAGGGGTAATCAAGTTAAAATGGGGCCATTAAGGAGGGCCCTAATCAAAAAGACTGGTATCCTTATAAGAAAAGGAGATGAGAACACAGATAATACAGACAGGGAGATGTCTATGTAAGGATACAGAGAGAAGATGGCCACATGGAAGTCAGGGAGAAGAAAC